AGTTCAAAATTAGTTGCTGGCAGTTCTTTTCCTCCCCGACACAATCTTGGGTAAATTTGTGCAAATTAATGCTGCAATGTAAAAATGATTTCAGTACAAAATAGACATTAATTCTGTTAAAAACTGTAGCTGATGTACTGTCAAATCCAATAAATATGATCCAGTAAAACTAATAACAGCTACAAACTAGCTACAGTTATTTATATGTATAAACATGATGATAATAACAATATCAGACTAAATAAATAATGCATTGTCAATAACAGTTTTTTACTTAGTGTTAGAATGTAAAATGTTCAGAACCTCATAAATGCATAATTCTGCGTATGCAGGAAAATCTGGATTCATTTTTTTAGCTGAAAAAAAATTCAGATAAAATACTGTCAATCATATTTATTTTTGGTAAATAACATTTAGAAATAGAGTGCAAAAAATTTGAAAATAATTTTGCTCAGAACAGATGCATACACTCGTTGAAATGAGACAGAGCGCCTCCCTCTGACTGACTGGCTGCCCAGCTCCCAAAGAAGGCCATACTTCATCAGGATTGACAGACATTCACTTTGGCGAAATAGAGCAGGCACTATCTTAGGCAGCTCCTCCCACAAATGGCTTGAGGGTGGGGCCTTAAGTGGTGTGCGTGACTGTGTGTACGTGTGTATTGAGGGGGGGCGTCAGTGATCTGAGAATGTGAGCATGCCTTGGCCTGGGCACCACGTGTGTGGAAAGACAGGGCGGAGCACTCCAATACAGCCTTCTCCCTTGGCCCCCCCAGGTGCCCGCTTATAGCATCCCTCCCTCCCTGTGGCACAGATCACAGCTCACTGAGAGTGACGCTGGCTCGGCCTCCTGCCCAATACAGACAGCACCCTGCCTGGCCTTTCCCTCTCTCCTGCATGTCACACCTATGTGTGTGATGGAGGCAATTCCTCCATCAGCAGCCTCAGTGACGACTGGGAGCAGTGGCGAATCACGACTTAATATACACAATATTCACAGTAACTGCACTTAAATATGCTCTCAGAATCTTCAGAAACACTTATGTTTACCCCAACTCCTGCTTTCAAGCCTTTCAGTTCGAAACTAAAAAAAAAAAAGTTTATATCAAAAACACTCAGGTCTGGCCCAAGCGTGGTGAAATTTCATTAAACTGCTAGGAAAAAGCAAATGGTGAACAGTTCATTTCAGCTGAGGTTTTAACACAAACATAGAGAACAACAAGCAAGGAAAGGGTCCTCGCTGGCAGATTATTTTTAATTACTATTATTTTGGTGTAAAGAGAATAGATAAAATAAGTGCATGTAACCATCTTAACTAAAATTAAATGTTAATTATTACATTTTAATAACGTTTTCTAAGCAAATCCTGTGCGCACTAATGTCATTCAAATGAAATAAAAGTAATAAAAAGCTGTCTCACATATTTAGCAAATAGCTGAAAGTGAACATCAAATATTCTTGTGAAATGTATTCTGTTTATAGAAAATTTGTAAATTGAAAAAACACATATTAACCAAAAAGACTTCTTGAAATCCAAATAAAAACATGGCATAATAATTATCAGTAATCATATTTAATTGAAAATCTAAATAAAAATATATATTCATATGCAAATCAATCAATCATTATGCCATATTTTAAAATGTATTAATCAATGTCTTGATTTTGCACTTCAGGTTTTAAAAGAATTCCTGGAACTGTAAAGTGAAATCCTTAAAAATATGATCAAATCCCAAACTGACATGAATTCAAACAGAAATATATATAATTTTGCTTGAAATTCTTGCACTGTTATTATGAAGTAATTAATTATAAATTGTCCTAATTTATAATTCCTGTAAAATAAAAATATCTATGCATTTAATCCTCTTATAAAAAGCATATTTAGGAAATGCTGCTGTTACATCTAATGATTCATCTGGGGTGGCAAACTAAACCCTACACAGGATTTTTTTAAAGAAGCACGTAAAAGTTACGAATTATTGTCTCGGATACTGAAGTGAAAGAGTACGAGAATTACGCCAATTGTCTGTGACCTGCGGCCCTCTGCATGTCTGCCCTAAGTCTCTTCCTCTGCACTTTTATATGAGCTGGAACAGCAATCAAGTCCATCATCCCACTTTTTTTTTTGAAGGACTTCTATTTTTAGGAATGTGGCCAAAACAGACGATGTTATATTTCAGGACTGTTGATTGACAGGAATGAGTTAATTTGTTGGTATCAGTTTTTTATCAGAAAAAACAGACAATTTCAAATTTCTGAACTTTTGCACACACACACCCCCCCCCCCCAATTTTATACAAAGATTGACTTGTTTTATAAAATTGCACGATTCTGCCCTACTTGTGCGAGCAGCACAATGTATGTGTTTGTTTGCAATTGTACAAGTGACACACATGCAGACGTGGGCCGAAACATCAGTAACACTCACAGTCACATAATAAAGTGGCACCAGCATCGCTGGCTATCTGCGGAGAAGCCGGCAGAGTCTCCAACCAGTGGCCCACGGAGTCCATGTCCCTGCAGAAGGAGACACATTGTGGTGAGGCGGGCTGGCGTGGGGCGTAACCAAGGCCTCCGGGCTCTAAGAGCGGGATCTAGGCCTGGGTTACTGGACCCGCCTTGCCTCCACCCCCATCCCAGCCTGGTCACATGGAACAGCACTGGCTATAAGCCCTTGGAGGGGGACACTGTATGTCAGCCTCACCTGGAGCTTAAACACCCTTCTGGAAGGAGTGTGTTAGTGCACAGATAAACAGTGCACTAACAGTAATGCCGGCACGTTCTCCATGCTTGGTGGGTGGGGGGGAGATAAATTATTCAGCAGCTTAGAAAATAAGTCCCCCACCCTGTTGCGATTCAAATGCCCATACTGCTCATGGACAACGACAGGCGGGCGACTGGTCTCCTTTGCAACAGGGCTCATGGGGAGTGTAAGACGCAGCCCTGGTGCTTGTATGGCACAACCGCACTGCTGGCCCCTGAGCTGTACTGTCCCCCTCTGCTTGCCTCCAGCACTCGGACGGGGCCACCTCACGCCACTCTGTCCTTTTGTGTGCAGCTGGCATCCGTCCCATGGGGAGTTCCTCCACGCCTCTGCCCCACGAGGACAGCAAGCCAGGGGGGAGAAGAGGAGCCAGAGGAGGAGAGGGAGGACAGGGAGAAGCGGGATGGAAAGAGGGGTGCCGCAGTTTCGGCAGGGCTGTCCCTATTGGTTCACCCCATTCACCCCAAAACCTGCTCGCAGGACACGGCCAAGCCCCCAAAGAAAGAAAAGAGAAACAACAAACCGACAGTAAAACAATGAAGAAGAACAACAAAAATAGTACGTTACCATTGAGGAGTTGCCTGCGAAGGGTGACGCGGCAGCACAACCTCTGAGAGTCCGGGAAGGGAGAAGTCCATCACGCAGAGCGGTCGTGTTACAGGAAAATCACAAGGAGAACAAGAGAGGGAAAAAAGAGCTCGGGGCCGATGGGCAGTGCTGGCGGTACGCGGGCGCCAAAACGGAGACGGGGGGGGAGCTGTATCATGGTGAGGAAGAGTGGCCCCGAAGAGCTACTTGTTGCACGGTTTGTGTTAGGCTTGCTGTGCAGCTAGCTGAAGCCAGAGGGTTAAAATCCAACGAGTAGTAAAAAGAAACCCTCCCTCTCCCTCCCGCACGCACAGTCACTCGCAGGGGTGGAGGAACCAGCTGTGGAAATAGCTGCACTCTTTTTGTTTTTTTTCCCCCTCTTGTGCTGAGCCCCCCCCCCCACAGCAGACGAGCGGGAGGCGGAGGGAGGCAGGGACGGGCCAGAGCAGGAACCCGGCGGGCCAGTGGAGCGGAGCCCAGGCGGGGACGCAGTGGCAGGAACAAGGCTGAGTGCGCGAGTGTGCAGCTTCCTCAGTGAGGAGCTGTGTTACCGCCGGGGAGAGAGAGAGAGAGAGAGAGAGAGAGAGAGTAAAGGAGAGGGCGGGAAAAATGCAGGAAAAGGTGGAGGGACGGGAGGCAGAAGGGGGGGACACAGAATCCGCCCCACTTGGCTGACGCAGGCGCAGTGCAGGGGCTCACGCCATTTTAACAAACTACACCTTGAGAGAAAAGTAGAGACGGAGAGAAGCAGATGAAAATGAAAAAACAAACTGAGCCAGGCTGCTGGGAGGAGATGGATAATGCACTGTGGTACTCGGCATGCAGAATTAGGAGTAGAAATAAACACCCTGACCGGTGATAGTTTGGCAGAGAGCAAGTGGATGAGGTAGGAGCCGCAGGGACAGCAGTCAGACCGGCACCGCCTCAAAGGCCCAACTGAGCGTGCGTACTTACTGCCCCCACCCCCCCCAAACTGCGATGCCAGAAACCATATTTGAACCAGTGAACTCGGCCCCTGTGTAAGAACGATCTCTGTATTCGGGCTGGAATGGGTCCATGTGCTCTTGTAGAGGCCCAGCCCACGATCCGCCGTGCCCCCCATCCTCGCGTCTCATGATATGGAATGGGAGCCGATTTCTGGGTTGCTCAGCTTTTAGTATAAATAAATAAATAAAATCACAGACACACACACACGCCAGAGTCCAAGCCCGCTGAAAGCAGACTCCACCAGCTTTCAAAACTCAGGAATAATAATGCAAAGCAGCAGAACGCCTCTGAGTGATCCACTATTTCATACCCCCCCCTGCTGGCCTCGTGCTCTCAGTGATGAGCATTTGGATTTTTCCATTTGTAGCAGATTACTGTAACACTATTGTAAAACAACTTCCTGCCTCCTCTGGCCATGATGCCAAAAACAAATAAATAAATAAATAAAAATAGAACAGTAAAGAGGCTTTGCGCTCTGTCCCAGAGCGGGGAGAGCACAAAGGATGGGAAAAGACGGAGGCTCTCCATCTGGAACAAAAAGAAAGTCTCTCGCCGTGTCAACACTAACTGACGCATTTCTCAGGCTTGTTTCAGCGAGGCTGCAGTGTGGGGAGAGACAAGGGATGGAGCTGATACACGACAAGGTGGGGAAACTTTCTTTGTGCTTCAGGACTTCTCCTCCTCCTGCGTGCAGTCTGAATATGGCTGCCACCGCCGCTGACTTGGGAGGCTTGTGCTCTGTGCCTCTCAGGCCAAGGGAGCCAGAGCTGCGCCCAAATGCTAGTGGGAGGGGGGAAGGGTTCAGGAAGGGGGGGGGTCTGTTCGCGGCCTCACGCCTCCCTCGCTCCTGCTGCCTGTCCTGCCCGAGCCGGCGACATCGGCCGGAGGTGGACGGTGCCCGGGACGCAGAAGATGGCCGGACAAGCAGAAGGAGTAAAGCGCTGTGCCTTTTTTTTTCCTTCACCCGGTTTTTGCTCCCGTTCTGTGTTTTTTTTTGTTTGGCATGGAGCAGGAGCCTCTTCCCGAGTGGAGTTGCTACGTCACATCTCGCCATGCCTCCGAACCAATTGAAAAATCAAGCGATTCGAGGAACATTATATACATTCAATCAGAGAAAAAAAACAACAACATGAAGGACACATAAGGAAGAAATCCCAGACGTCCCTGCTAGGCTTTCGTAGAAGTAGGTATTTAGAAGGTATTTATCTGCCTAACCGGTTCATTCTTCATAAACCCCGCTAGTTGTATAGTCACTAATCTGCAGCTGAAATCTATAACCTTGGCAGGGGCTGCACACTGTACATTGCAGGAAGTTCAGTTAAGGATACAGTTTTGGTTTTGGGTCTGCTGCCAACTCTCGACAGCGCGCTCCTCTGCGCAGTGCTACGCCTCCCCGGCACAGATCGAATGTGCTTTCGCAACGTTTTAACTAAGATAATTCTTTAATGGCCCTCAGACAGGAGTTCCTCTGCTTTCACACATCAAGGGATAAACTTCTAAAGTTTGCGAGTCAGTGTTACAGTGTTTCTTTCACACTAAGAAATCACTTCTTAAAAATATGCCGGACCAATTTGTACGTCAGAGAAAAAAAATTCTAATTACTTGTGTGTCTGTTAAGAACACAGGAGTACAGTAACATACAAAAATAGACTCAAGCAAAAGTAAAAAATGTAATAAAAAATAAATTGTAAAAATTTAAATCATAAGCACCTCAAAATGGTTAAAATATGACAAAAGTTGGAAACATCTAAACAGGATGTAAAAAAAACTAAAGGAGTACTCCAATATAAAAAAGAAATAAACTACATAAGTTAAAAATATCTAAATTGTGTTAATAAAACAAAAGAGTACTCCAGCACAATAAAAAATAAACAGCGGTCAGACACATTTAAATGTGTGTGTGTGTGTGTGTTTGTGTTTAAATTTAAAAACACAGGAGTACTCCAATATGCAAAGTAGTAACATCTAAAGGTGTGTGTATTTTCACACTCACACACACAAAACGATATCCAACAAGGCATTAGTGTAGCGTATACTACAGTAAGTTTCTGGGCATGAGCTCAGTGTGTTAGCAGGACCTTAACCCAGTCTTATGATGACGAAGAGCATGATCCTGATTGAATAATCCTGCAGCTCTTCGCTTAAGTGCTGCAAGCCCTGAAGTAAATGGTTGACTTTTGCCATGTTATCTGTAAGGGGAATCTCTCCATCGGTATAATGTCAATATTTAAATTTGTTATTCCTCAGCAAAAGTACACAATCACTTCTTTACAGTCCTACTGGCCAGTAAATTTAAGGAGCTATGGTTTATCTTAACCAAGAAAAAATGTTTTGTGCTACAGATTTCATACTTTAATAAGTAAATAAAAAATTAATCCCATAAGGGTATTAACTTTAGTATTTTTTCACATTGGAGTAGGCTTTTTCCAGATTACATTAAACAAATACTGTTTTTATAAGTAATAAATTAATTCCACAACATTTAAAACTAAATTGTATTGCAGATGTCATTATTAAGGCACTTTAAGGGCACTTACTGGAGTTAATTTGTTTGGTGATAAACAGCAGAAGTATCTTTAATGACGCACTCTATAACTGTTTTCAGACACAATTGAGGCAACAGTCAAATATGGAAAATAAATACTACTTAATTCCTCTCCTGCGAAACAAAAAAAATGATAGTTAATCACACAGAACTCATTTTGAAGAGGAAAAATGTATAATTGCAAAATATATGTTGGTTATGCTGAGCTATTTTAAAAAATGCAGGAACAAATGAGCTTATTTAATGTAGGTGAATAAACAAGCTACATGCAACCAATGCTGAGTTTTGCGAAAATTAAAAATAGTTTAAGGTTGATTAATGTTAATCTTCAGATGTCACATGAATCCTCACAAACAAGCAGGACAATTAATATTAGCGTCGGGAAGGTTATTTTTTTGGGGGGGTGGGAATTCAGGAACAAAGACTCCCATGATTAAACTGCAAAAGGCTGTCTGCCAGTGATGATGCTGACGGCACTTTAAAATATAACCACATTAAACAAGTTACAACCTATTTAATTTCTGACATGCTGTGTAAGGGACGGTACACTACAATGTTGTTTTTTCCCCAATCTCGGGGTTCCTCTAGTACTTTTTCATTTAAAAGAATTACTGAGTTTGTTCCTGTCAATCAGATTGGAAAACAAAAATGTGTGCCTCTGATGAACACATCTTTTCAGTGTTTTAGTTTTTAGTTTTTTTAGTCTCCCTCAGGTTCTCTGGAAATTACTCTGGTGGCTTGAAAGGCCACAATTTAGTTCCCAACTCAAACTTTAAATATGAAATGGAGGCAAAGGACCTTAATGCCGACGTCCGTGTGCTTGTACTCCTACACCCTGCAGGACTTTTGGGAAAAACAAGAACTTAGGAGATGATGTTTAGGGGGGACAGATAGAGGTTGTGAGTAAGCAGAAAGAAGACGTGAGGTGTGGAAGGTGAAGATAAGGGTGGATCCATGATGAAAGACAAGGTACATAGGAGCACAGCAGGCTTAAGAATCTGTCGGCACTCAGGAGTCCTTCCCGGGGGTCACAATGGTGGTCTAATTTGCGCCCTGCACGTGTCTGAACAACTTCTCCATTACTGCCATGACCTCAGAGGTCACTCTCTATTGAGAGGGGAACAAAGGGCATGACCTCAGGGTCAAAGGGCTTGGCTGGGAGTAGGGGGGCCCTGCTGAGTGTGGCGGTGTTTTCTTTGAGGAGGTAAAGAGCACTAACACACTAACTAAAGGAGATTAGGGGCCCATCCACACTGGAGTTCTACTCAGGGTGACATAAATCACCTCCCACTAGGTGCTGAGTCAAGCGGCAGCTCCGGGGGCCAGGAGAGCAGCAAGAAAACTGATATGTATACATGATTATCTGATGTATGTGCTGTACATATACATACAGACTGTCACTGTAACCTCAGGGATGGGAGAGCAGCAAGAAAGTTGATATGTATACCTGTGTGTGTGATTATGTGGTGTATGAACTGTATACGTACATACAGATGGTGAATAACCTCAGGGAGAGGAGAGCAACGAAAACGTTATGCATACCTGTGTGTGTGATTATATGGTGCAGAGATGGGTAAAAAAAAATCAATATCTATTTTAATACAAAATATCTGCAAGTGTATCAAAATAAACTACAAACTATACACACCAAGCCAAGCATCAAAGTAAAATACAAAAATATATTTTGCATACTTCTATTCTATATCAGCCTGCTCCTTCACAAGCACACTGACTCAAATGGCCAAGCATAAGAGTAGCATTTTTTCACTGCTTATCAAGACACTACAAATGCGAAAACAAACAAAAGATCAAATATCCCAATAATATATCCTAACTACTTTCGGGAACACACAGATACTACTGTAGCGTAAGTCAATCGAATGAAAAACTAATACGAAAAACTAATAATAAATTCAGAAAAAATGGCTTTTTTTCTAATTTAATTAACAGCTGCTTATTTTTCTACACCACTAGATGCAAATAAACCACAAAACCACAACATTTAAAACGAAAAATGACAAACACTATTTAATGCTTCACTCAGCAACATCTTAGCCTTAAACACGAATAGGCCTGAATCGACATTTAAGTCTTGTTTCAACACAAGTCATAAACTTTTGACTCTAATGTAAACAGAACGTTACAATGGCATGTGCTGAAAATCACAGAAATAAAATGGAAATAACTTACATTATTCTTATGTAGCATGTAGGAAAAATATAATAATCGAGACAAACACGTCCTACAGCACAGGCTTTTTAATGCCACTTGTCTGAAAGGTATGAGAAAATGTCACACCACACAGTTTAGCTTTACAGAGCCACTGTCTGATAGCCACTCCAATGTCTGAATGCAGAGGAGCCCAAACAAATGTTGTCTTATGGATTATGGACGTTTCTTTCACCATCTGTGTGTCCTCTGACAAAATGGAGTTAAAAGTGACAGCAGGGGGGTCACAAAATGGAGGACAAAGCAGGACAGCATAACACAGAGACCTCCTTTTGAACCGCACGGCTGTCCCTGTGTCCATGTTGCTAGTCTTAGAAGGTATCAGACCTGGCTGTTCAACGCAGATATGGACCACAACAACCGACTGCAATCAGATTAAATAAAGCATTTAAAAAATACACACACACACACACGCACACACAGCTCAATGTAAAAAAATATCTGAAAGACTTCTGACACGACAAGTAAAAACCCATATAACAGTCCAAATTGTAGCATTTCAGTCCTTGTTCGGAAAGTACAGTATAATAATCATTAAGGGCAAAAATGAAAAAGGACAGTCCACCTTTACTCATCACCTCAGCTGAGTGCAGAACTGTACATAAGTGTGGTTATTCAATGACACGTAAGAGAATGGTGCAAAGGAAAATTAATTTATAATATGCTTTTAAAATGCATTAAAAATATATAATTAAAATCAGTAAATCTGTCACATTACCCGACAAAATAACCGTTTCACATAATCAACATTATAAACTCTAAATAAGACCTACTTCTGTTTTATGGGCTGTTTATGGGACCATAAAATATATTATTTAAATGGTATGCTATGCCCATTTGTTTAATTTGGAGAAAATAAGTGTTTTACCTCCCCTTTAAAAAGCGATTGACAAATGATCAGGACAGAGCGCAGCTTTTTGAATCGTGGATGAGGAATAGCCACGTTGCCTGAAATGGGGTTTCAGGAGGCTCGGGATGATAGTCACTGTGTTTTAGGAGCTGATCTAATGCTATGACAAAGCTTTTCCTTTAAATTGTGTAGCGTGGCTATGGGCAAACGGGACAACTTCTCAGCCGACTGACCTGCAGCAGATTTCACTTATTTTTTTTCCAGGTACATGTAAATGCAAAATGCTATATCTTTGCCCCAATCAAAGCAAGAAGCACAAGTAAAAATGTGAAATTGTATGTATGCATATATAATGCATGAAATAAAGTTATTCTTATTAATGGAAGAATCAGTAGGAGTCGAATTACCTAAATTAGAACTAAAACACAGCTACAAAATTTAATGAGAACTATTGACATCAGTGACTGCAGAAATATAATTTTCTAGCTTGCAGAAAGATCATATATTCAGCAGTTTGAGAAGGAACTGTGTTCTGAAAATATATAAAAATATAAGGCAAATATCTAATAGTGGT